TTGAGTGTGAATAATTCTTACTAAGTTTTCTTTGTTTGTCTTAAATCTCTAAGCCACGTGGGAATTCAGAATACATCTGACAGACTTTCAAACTTAACTCCTATCACAAACAGCACATAACTGGCAACTCTAGGAAACAGTCATTCAAAAGGCAGTGCCTGAGGATCCCAGCATAAGAAGAGCTTTGGTTTAAAATCCCTAGTTCGTTTCAGAAATGTGCTTTTATTGAAAGGGGAAAAAGAAATGGAAAAGTCATGGGAAAAGTATTGGAATGGAGACAGTCAGGAGGGAGTGCTAGTTCTAGGGCAGGGTTTGCTATAGAGAACTGTTTGACTTTGGAAAATCCCTTAGTTTCAGTTTCTTCATACTTAGTAACAATGCGTGATTTCTGAAGAACCTTTTAATTCTACAAAGCCCATGGTTTTCAACAAGAGCAAAACTGGAATCACAGGAGCAGGAACAAAAAGAAAGTTCAGGAAACCAAACAAGCATAGGTGAGGTTAGCATTCACTAATTGTAGTTTATAGAGGACAAGGTGTACATCTAACATGAGAGCCAAGAAACACACGAAGGAAGACAGGAACGAAATGAAAAAGATAGGCCCGAAGAACTCAAGTGTTTTTCCTTGAGAAGTCTAAATAGCAGGAGAGGCCCATGAGATAACGTCCACATTTTTAAATTTTTTATTTTTATTTTATGTATATGAGTATTTTTGCTTGCATGTATGTAAGTGCACCAGGTGTACACAGTAACTGCACAGGCCAGAAGAGGGCATTGGGTCCCCTGTAACTGGAGTTACAGACAGTTGTGAGCTGCCATGTGGGTGTTGGGAACTGAACCTGGACCCTCTGCAAGAGCTGCTGGTGCTCTTAACTGCTGAACATCATTCAAGCCCCCTAAGCCAGCTTTAATTCTGTGATATTATCACATGGCTCATGAGAAGGTAGAGTTGGCTGCTACATTGATATGCATCTGGCAAAGTGAAAAAAAAATTCACCCAGAATAATCTATGGTGTGTTAGTTGATTTATCTCCTTTAATTTGCTTTTATTACTCAAAAGGAGCTGTAAACTTAGAGCCTTGTATATAATCCCTTCCATAACTCAGATATTAAGATGCTCATGTCAACTGATTGCTAAGAGATACTACTGCTCTATTTCTCCATTCAAAATAATAAACTTGGCCTTGGATGTAGCACAGTGCTAAGGGGACATTATTAGCATTTGTGAAGCCCCAAGTTCAAGTTCTAAAGGAAGAGGAAGGAAGGAAGGGAGGGAGGAAGGGAGGGAGGGAAGGAGGGAGAGGGGGGGAGGGTATGTCCTTCTGAAGCCAGCAAAACTTGGACACCAGAGATTCCCATGCACAGTTTCTTTCGGAAACAGTTTTATTCTCATCATTTACATGTTTTAGAGAAGATCCCCCCCCCAACATTGTTTAAATTTCAGGCCCCCCCAAAACCTAGAGAGGCTGCTGAGTATATCATGGTTGTAATTTTCTTTCCTGCTAAGGAAGGATACTTATCTAGTTTTTGATGCCGTTACTAAGGATAAACAGGTTGTGAACTAGAAGTAGAAAATCGTGTCAAATTTTGAAGACGGCATGATCCTCAAATAAGGAGCCAGTCCTCAAACGATGCTGTACAAGCTAACCCAAAGCAAAGGACCTCACTTACCTTTATTCAAAATACAAAAGTGTGACCACAGATGTATAGTACATTTTATGTGGAATACTGAACTCTAGAGAGTGCTGTTAATGATGCAGGGCATTAAGGGCTCAGCTCTCCATAAGGCAGAAAAGTCACCACCTTCTCAGTAGGTTTGGGGGATAAGAAAGTCACAGTGACAATTGACAGTGATGTACAAGCCAACCATTTGCACTGTGAACTACTGGTCTGAGAATCACTCCTGGAGTGTGACAGATCCACATAGAAGTGGAAAGAATCCATGCAGACTTCAAAAAAGCAATAAGAACAGCATAATCTTAGAGAAAACAACAACAGAACACTCCACTGGTGTTCATTTACATGTGTAATACCCAGGATGCTAGGCCTGCCAGCTCACCACTTTTTCAGAAATGCTGAAGGGATTTTTTTTTTTTTTTAACAACAACAACAAAAAGCATAACTGAACTGGTTTGGCATGATGGTGGGGGTGCTGACTCCTTTCTCTGTCCTTGAGTGTTTACTGCCAGGATATCCTGACCAACATTGATTGCCAAGGGGTTAAAGTCACATTGTTGTTAAATTGGGAGAGAAAATTAGCAGGATTTGATGCCCTATGCTCAGCTATCCTAGAGTTTCAAAAACAGGAACCTGGGGCTTTATATGAGGGGCAGGGGAAGTCAAGGGGAAGAGTCACAAGGGTGATATACCAGGGCAGAGTTCCAGATAAATCGCTTATGCGGAGGTGAAAGAATTTGATGTATAAACTCTGTGCCAAGAACCCACATGACTGAAAATTGAAGTTGGCAATTGTGGGTGCAGTCTTCCCAAGTGTGAAGACGTAGTTTGTTGTCTTGTTTTTCCGTCTGCATTTCATCCTGGGTTTGGAACTCAGGGCCTTGAGCATTCTAGGCAGTACTGTACTGGGAGCCACATGACCAGCTAAGGTGATGTCTTTCGGTTCATGTTGTCTGGAATCCTGCATGTCTGGTTGTACTTTCAGGTGTCCACACTATCATTCTCATAACAGGAAAGAAAGTTCAGGGACTGGGGATGCAGCTCAGTTGATAGAGTATTTACCTCGCATATATGAAGACCTGGATTCAGGCTCCATACAACACGACCTAGGTGTGTATGGTAGTGCATGTCTGTAATTCCAGCACTTGGGAAGTAGAGGTTAAGAGGATCAGAAGTTCAAAATATCCTCTGGTACACATCAAGTTCAAGGCCAGCCAGAGTACATGATGAGACTTTGTCTTAAAAAAAAAAAAAGGAAAGAAAGGCATATTTTGTTAATATAAATTGTAATACACTATAGAGTGTTTGGAGAACCAAGAAAGGAAGAGGCAGTAGGGGCTCTGTAAAAGCATCTTTATTCATTCAAATTTTTCTCATGATTAGAATCTGACCGTCCAAGGGAACACAGTAAATTTTAACTGACATAACTGGTTGACCTTTCTTTTTTCTTCTTTTACCATACCAATTTTGAAGGAGTGAGAGAAACAGAAGCAGGATGTCTGAGAAACAGTGACCACAGTTTGTTCCTAATTGTCTTGAAGAATCAAAACGAGCAGGCAAATCTGCTTTTGAGCCCTTACCTCTCCTGTTTGGAGGTTTGCTGAACAGTATGACTGAAGTAAATTTGGGGGTAACAAAAGTATTTATAGACTAACTCCAAGTATGTGGTGTTGATATAACATGTACATTTGAGGATTCATTCAATATCTAAAAGTCTTCATTATGTTATTTCCTCAAGTGTAGAACAAACAATATTTTGGTGAAAATCAAGACCTCTAATCTGCAAGAGTCCATAATGGAATCTCTGGCCAATATATCTTGAAGCTGGCTACCACAGCCACTTATATAACCTCTTGCCTCTTCCTATAGCCATTCAGGAAAGAACTCTTAGAACCTCTGCTCAAAAGAAATTAATTTTAGTACATCAGAGAATTTGTGATCATGTGTCACAGACACACCCCACCACCATACACACAAACACATATACAAGTCTCCTGAGAAATGCAACTAGAACCTCCTCCACAGAAGAAACAGAAATCCCTGATTTTATTCACTTCTGTCACTTGAGAAACTTGAGACTTTGGGAGGATAAATTGCTTTCTCTAAGTCACATAGTTAACCACAGAGCTGGGGCTGGAGAGATGACCTAGAAGCTAAAAGCACTTGCTGCTCTTACAGAGAACCTGGGTTTGGTTTCCAGCACCCACCATCTGTAACTCCAGCTCTAAGGGATCCAACACCCTTTTGTGGTCTCCATGGGCACCAGGCGTGAATGTGGTACACATATATACATGCATGCAAATATTCATACATGTAAATAAAAATAAATCTTTTTTTTAAGTTAACCACAGAACCAGATAGCCTCAGTTTGTATTCTAGTACTGTCACACATTTTATTGTTTGAAGAAGATTGAGGTTAGCTCTTTATAGGGTTTAAGTACATGTAGTAAATGTAAAATGCTACCTCTTCCTGGTCAGTGTAGTCTTGAGAATTTCAGTGACCATAATTATAAATAGATGGGGATTGTATGACCAACACAACTTGCTTTTGAAGGCAGGTTGTTGCAAACCTGAATAACTGGTGCATTCATTTTATTAATTAGCTGATCCTTAAGAACAGACATTTTGAAAGTTAAGTCCAGGACTGGGGATGCAGCTCAGTGATAGAGCACTTGCTTAGTATGCATGTGGCCCTAGGTTCAGTCCTCAAAATTACAAAAAATAAAAAGTTCAAAATCATTTTTATTTTACCACTTTGCAGTGTTTACCCACAGGCCTTCTACATCTGCTTTTCTGAAACAGATGGCGTCCAGAGCATTAAAAAAAGAAAGAAAGAAATAGGCATTTTCTTGGCTTGGTATTTTTAATCTACTTTGAGTGATTTTTTATAGTGAAATGTATTTTATATGCACACTGTTTCCTTTGTGATCTTAGTAAATTTAATCTAAAACTGCAAGATTAGTTTATGTTCAAGTGGGTCTTTTCAATTCTAACTTGCTGAAATTATTTTTTGTAAAAAGAAGACTAAACATGTATGCCTTTGAAAGCCAAGAAAGACAACAGATTTTCTATCATTTTAAAAATAATTAACTAGTCACAAGTAAAGTATTAACAGCATAAATTGAAGGAAAAGGAGAACAAAACAGCTTTGGTCACAAAAGATAATGAGGCTGAATAAGTCTTTTCTTATGATTAAGTCTCTTCAACTTTAGATGTTTTACTTAGTAAAGTAAATGCATATAAAAACAGTCTGGGGAGTCAAGGTTGTCTTCAATGTGAATAGAAACCTCCAACTCAGCCACTTTTTCCCTTTTCGTTTGCAGCCATTTGTCATCTATGACATGAATTCCTTAATGATGGGAGAAGATAAAATCAAGTTCAAACACATCACCCCCCTGCAGGAGCAGAGCAAAGAAGTGGCCATTCGCATTTTCCAGGGGTGCCAATTTCGTTCCGTGGAAGCCGTGCAGGAGATCACAGAGTATGCCAAAAGTATCCCCGGCTTTGTAAACCTTGACTTGAATGACCAAGTAACTCTGCTCAAGTATGGTGTCCATGAGATCATCTACACAATGCTGGCCTCCCTGATGAATAAAGATGGGGTTCTCATATCAGAGGGCCAAGGGTTCATGACCAGGGAGTTCCTCAAGAGCCTACGGAAGCCCTTTGGTGACTTTATGGAGCCCAAGTTTGAGTTTGCTGTGAAGTTCAATGCACTGGAATTAGATGACAGCGACTTGGCCATATTTATAGCTGTCATTATTCTCAGTGGAGGTAAGATTTATCTTTTTGTGTGTGTGTGAAAAGAAGGGTAGGGTGGTGGTAGAATGGGATGGGTAAAAATCTTTTACAGTTCCTGAGTGTTCATCTGTGTCCCTTTTTCCTCTATACTGACTGTACTTTGCATGTACAGTGTCAGGGCACAATGCCATGAGCACATCACTTGCCGTATCACAGATCAAGAACAAATACCATAGGCTTGCTGAATGAAGGCTGTGGGGGACCCAGGCTCATTGCTTTTATCCATCACACTGCTCTTTCCAGCCAAATCCAATCATGAAAGACAAATGCCCTCTTTTCTTTCTTCATGTGCTTTTTTGTTGTCTTCACCCCCTTCCTTCCCAGAAGGCCAATCCAGTCTTTAGCCCATTTAAGTAATTGCACATATAACTTAGCTTTGGCGATGCTCACATAGACAGAGCAGGCACTACTGAGTGGTCCTGGCCCAGTTATGCTCCCACCCCACCATTAATAAGTTACTGCTCTAAATTGCCTCCCAGCATCAGGAATCAGGAATATGCATGTGCTAGGCTCTACCTTCTCTCTCATGTGGATTCTTCTGTGGATTCTCTTATGTACCTTTGTGAGGTCATTTTAAGAATGCAGTGTGTTGCCAGGCATGGTAGCACACACCTTTAGTCCCAGCACTCAGAGGCAGAGGCAGGCGGATCGCCTGAGTTCAAGGCCAGCCTGGTCTACATAGTGAGTTCAGGTCAGCTGGGACTACAGGGAGACCCTGTCCCAAAAAGACCAAAAAAAGAAGAATGCAGTGTGAACCAAAGAACATACCACAGAGAAATAAACTGAACTACTTGGAAGTTTATTGAAATTTTGGCCTTGCAAATACATGATTTAGCTAACCAATTCCAAAAGCCACATTTTATAACAAATGTTCCTTTCATTAGCCTCTCTCATGTTTCCAATTAGGGTAGAAGAAATTTTTACTTTCATCTCTATCTATATAAATTGTTTTGAGCCAGGTATGACTGTGCACACTTATAATCACAGCACTTAGGACGCTGAGGCAAGAGGATCTTGAATTGGAGGCCAGCTTAGGCTACATAGTGAGAATCCATCTCAAAACAAAAGAAAGTTTGCTGTTTAATTATGAGTTCTCAAATTGACTATAGGTTAGCTTTCTGACTGGACTATGCAACAATCTGTGTAAGGGGAAAGGGGTTCTGTAGATCTAAGAGCGTAGTATTGCTTCATGTAAAGAACATGATCCAATGGGTAGTTTTGTCATGCAGTTCAGAGCAGAATATTTTTGTTGTTTTTTAATTTTTTAAATTATTTAATTTTATGTATATGAGTGTATTGCTTGCATGTGTGTAAGTGCACCTGTGTTATGCAATGCTCTTGGAGGTCAGAAGATGGCATCAGATCCCCTGGAACTGGAGTTATGGACAGTTGTTAGCCGCCATGTGGGTGCTGAGATTCAAACCTGGGTCTTCTGTAAGAACAGCCAGTACTCTTAACTGCTGAGCCATCTCTCCAGCCCCAAGAGATCAGAATATTTTTCAAGTGAGGTGTGTGGTGATTAATAAGGACACTAAGAGCCAACACTAAAGAGGCAGTGTTCTGAGCACTTCACACACATTCCATTAATCTTCACAATAGCCCCATAAGGTAAATGCCTGTTGACAAATTAAGAAACTGAAGCACTGGTATGCTGCCTTGCTCAAGCTAGCATGACTAGTTTAAGATGCAGCTGGGATCCCAGAGTCCATATTCCTAGATTCATTCTGTACAAAGCAAAGCTACTTCAAATGACTGGGGTACAGGAGATAACAGTATGGCAAGGATTAATCAGTGCCAAGTTGTAACTCACTTTAAAATTGTTTTGTTTTGTTTTGTCTTCATGCTGTTGGGAATGGAACCAAGGGCCAGGCAAGCATCTATCACTGAGGCACATCCTCAGATCTGAAGCAACATTTTTTGGAGTTGATTGGTTGGATTTTCTTTTTTTTTTGGTCTTTTTGAGACAGGATCTCCCTGTAGCCCCAGCTGTCCTGGAACTCACTATGTAGACCAGGAGGCTGGCCTTGAACTCACAGAAATCCGCTTGCCTCTGCCTTTGCCTCTGCCTCCCAAGTGCTGGGATTAAATGCGTGCCGCAACACGCCTGGCTTTTCTTTTTTTTTAATGCAGGGCCTGAGACATGTCTACCATTGATCTACACCCCCTACCCTAGAAGCACAGTTTTAATGACTAGAAAGTATTCCACTTTTTTTCTCTTTTGTTATTCAGCTTTTGTGTGTGAACTTCATACAGTATATTTAGATCCTATCCCCTATCTGCAACCCCCATACCCCCTGCCCAATTTCATATACTCTACTATATATATGATATATAATATATATAGTGTATATATAGTATATAT